GTGTGTGTGGTGGTGTGTGTGTGTGTGTGTGTGTGTGTGTGTGTGTGTGTGTGTGTGTGTGTGTGTGTGCTGTGTGTTGTCGTGTCGATGTGTGCTTGCTGTGAGCTGTGTGCAGTCACGTTTGTAGTTTGTTTGGCCACCTGTCACAGTCTTCTTCAACACGTCAATCATCTTCTTTGCTCAACTTTTTGCACCGTCCCCCTTCCCCACCCACACCTACATTCTCACAACGACCCCACGTGGTCAGGCGACAAGCCGTATTCGTGCCAGTACTGTGGAACGGCGTTCAACAACAGCAGCAACCGCCGCAAGCACGAGCGCCTGTACTGTAAACAACGACCCAGCTCCCCAATCCCCTCAACCAACCCGGCGACAGCCGCAGCGCCAGCTGAACCAGTCCCAGCGACGCCAACAAAAACAGCACCAGCAACAAAAACAGCACCAGCAACAACAACAATGGCTGCTTCTGCGGTGGAAATGCGCCGGTTAGTCCGTGACGAGCACGCGTCCGCGACGTCCAGCAGGCTAGCGCAGGTCGCAACGGGCGGTCGGGGGCAGCGGCCAGACGTGGTACCTGTGCCTTCTGCACGGTCCACCAAGAAGGGGGCAGGGAATGAGGACCAGCCTTCATCCCATGCACAGCCAGCAGCAGCCGCAACAACAACAGCACCATCAACAGTAGCAACGACAGCAGGAACAACACCAACAACAACCACAACAACCACAACACCAACAACAACAACAACAACAACGACACCATCAACAGCAACAGCGGCAGTCACAACGAAACCCGCAGGCGTGGCAGATGGGAGGACAACAACGACGACGACGGCGGGTACCAGTGGAAGCAGCGGCAGCACCACCAACAGTTCTCAACAACAACAACAACAACAACAACAACAACAACAACAACAACAACAACAACAACAACAACAACAACAACAACAACAACAACAACAACAACAACAACAACAGCAGCAGCAGCAGCAGCAGCAGCAGCAATAACGACAGCAGCAACGGCAACAGGCATTGTCGTCCGGCACGACTCCCCGCGTGTCATCTTCGCCGTTGTCGTTGCTGTTGTCGTTGTCGTCGCAAGCTTTCCGTTGAAGCAGACCCAGCTCAACAAGGATACGCCTAGTAGCTAGAAGGCACCAGCAACTGCGCAACTGAGCAACTCAAGCGCTAGTCACACCCCAACCATTCATGCTTGTATCACACCACTTCACCCGCATGACACTCATGATGACGCACACACCCAAACACATACCCAACACTCACAACACACAAACACACACTCACAACACACAAACACACACACACTCACAACACACACTCACAACACACACTCACAACACACTCACAACACACTCACAACACACACAACACAAACACACACTCATACCACACACTCACAACACACAAACACACACTCACAACACACAAACACACCCACAACACACACTCACAACACCTTCATCATTATCCTGCATTAATTTTTCATTTGATTCGATGCTCTTGGGCTTGCATGCAATGATGTGTGATTGCCCCGAATGTCCCGTTCAAAAATGCACACCAACGAGGCCTCGAACTGGGACAAAGTGACGATAATTGCCTGCATGCATGCTGTGGTGGGGAGGCACTCACGTCATTTCCAAGAAAGCGTCATTGCGGTGGCACAAAAGCTGGTCAAGCCCCAACTCTTCTCCACACAAACTCCTCTGCCGTTCATCACGCACTATTGCTGCATCGCTCGTTCGCACACACTTTCCTCTGTTTTTCGACAGCGTCATTCCTTCACACACACGTCAACGTTCGCCATCCCACACGCCTGCACGCACTTCTTGCCCTTTGTGCCCGTGCTTTGCTTCCTTCATCGTCGTTCCTCGACCGCTTGGTTGGCTGCGGTTGCAGTTGTGGTTGTTAACTCTCACCAAACAGCAAAAACAAGGAAGGGAAGCAACAAGGAAAGCGAAGGAAGGAAGGAAGGCCACTGCCCTTCCACACCAACACCACGCCGCGACAGACTCAGTTTACCCTTTAGCTTCATCAAATCTTCCTGCCCTACCCCCTCTTCTTCACAATCCACATCTCCCAAATCGTCAGCGTTCGCCTGGTGGGTTTGTTTAGGTGCTTTCCTGCGGTCGGCTCTGCTAAAACTGCAGGTGCTCCCATAGCACACGTAGCACTATCCCTGCCCTGCATGCGTGTGTTTGTGTGTGTGCGATCGGTGTTGGCTTTTGGAAAAGCACTGCTTTCACAACGTGGCAATCGACTCTTGGCTCTCATCCCCTGAATTGACTGTCACGCACACACACGAACACACACCCTCCCCTGTTTCTCTTCAGCCTCGATTCCTGAAGACCACCACCACGACCGCTATCGCTCACCCCCTCTACAACCCAATGGGCGAGATCGGTCAGTGCGGACAGCTGTAGTGTTGATGATGCTTCCTGGATCTTGTGGGGTGTAAGCGCTTTGCTTGCAAGCAAGTGAAACCATGCAAGCGCTATGCACACGACACCCGTGCATTACTTCTTCTTGTCGTCAAAGCCGTGCCTGCATGCGTCGTGCCTGCATGCATCCCTAGATGTAATCTTCCACACATGCTTATGCCACACAAACAAACACACACACAAACCCAAACACACACACACACACATACACACTACACACACACACACACGAACAAACCCACACACACACACACACACACACACACAAACAAACAAACAAACAAACAAACAAACAAACACAATCACACACACAACACAACAAACCATGACTGACAGCGATGGATCGTCAGAGCCATGGTACGAAGCAGCCATCGCCCATGGACTCGGCGTCAGCGCAGCACGCAGCCGCTTCTGGTTCCTCACAAGCCCCTGCTTCCGTCCCGCTTCAAACGTCGACGCCAAGTGCAGCCATGATGGCAGCCATGCAGGCGCAGGCAACCAACCCCGCGCAGGCCTTCATCACGCCTCCGTACCCTTACTTTCAGCAGCAACAGCAGCAGCAGCAACAACCACACATGGTGCAACACCAGCCTCCACAGCAACAGCACAACATGGTCTACCACCCTCGACCTCACCTGCCCACCTCCCAGGGGCAACAAGCACCCACAGCGACCATGCCCCCAAGCTTTTCCCCCGCTCTCCAACTCCAAAGCAGGGTAGGTGCTCTTTGGCCTTCCATCGTATCCTTGGCCCCTTGCATCCTCTCTTGGTGCATGTTGGCGTCACCTTCAAGGCATACAAGGCCATGCACGTGCACAAGGCCACCGAAGCCACACACAACGCCAGACTCACAAAGCCAGGCACACACAAAGTCACACATCTTTCCACACATGCACCCCAATCCACAATCCACACAAACATACAATCCACACATGCATACAACACACCCACACCCACACACACACACACCACAGTGCACAATACGTTACATGTACAACCATGCACACATGCATTATTATCCACTGGTTGTAACGATGCTGTGGCTTCTCAATTGGTTTGTAGATGTTTCCACAACACATGATGGCTGGTCCACAACAACAACAGCAGCAGCAGCAGCAGCAGGCGATGGGAGCCGCGCTTGCGTTTGCTCAGCAGCAGCCCCAACAACAACAAGCGCAACAACAACCACAGCAGCAACAACCACAACAGCAACAACCACAACAGCAACAACCACAACAGCAGCAGCCATCTGGTGCGTTTGCGCAGCCACCAATGGGAGCACCCTTTGCGGGTATGCCACCAACGCTTGCCGGCCAGCAGCCGCAACTGGCGAGCGCGACAGGAGGGCAGCAGGCACAACAGGCACTCGCACCCTCCTACATGCCCTTTCCTGCATTACAGCAGCTGCAAGCACAACAACAACAGCCACAACAGCAGCAGCAACAACCACAGATGCAGCAAGGCCCACCCAGACCCATCGCACATCAGGAGCACGCCATGGCGCTTCAACCGGCTTCATATCCAATGATGCAAATGGCATCCTTCGCCCCGGCTTCATTTGGACATCTGCAAATGCCACCGCAGCTCATGTTCCCCATGCAAGCTGGTGCTCCACTGCAGTACTATCATCCACAATGTACGTGAAGCTCAAGCATTGGCGTGCAAACGGGAAAGCGTGGAAACCTGTGGGTCATCGTGGACTTGATTGCATGCATGTAGTGCATTGGCCTGTGGGGTTGTCCCTGCATCACAATCGCGTTTCCTCCTCGCTCACACACTCGCTCACACACGCACAATCTCACCCGCACATACTATCGTTTGCGTGTCATCCGTGGCTTCTATATCCGTCTGCCCTACGCCACCCGCACGTATGTTTGGCTGGCCTCAGCTCCCCACGCAATGTCAGCTGCACAGCAACCTTCATGGTCAATGGCACTTCCAGGGACGATGACTACCATGGCTCTAACATCTGGTCCTCACGCAGCCTCCCCAATGACTCTGGCAACAGTGGCCACTCCAGGAACAGCGGTCCGTCAGTTCATGCATGTGGTGGGCCTTGGGATGTTGGAGGGAAGACAGGCCTTTGTCTTGGCTTTGTTTCACGTGATGGCTGCATTCAGTTGTCGTTTCGCTTGCGTGCATGCATGCAAGCAGAAGCGCTTATTGGGTGTAAACCTTGACTCGGTACTGACACGGTTGGTTGTTGGCACTCATTGATTGTTGTTCAAATGCCGTGGCTGCACCATTGGCCGTGTTCTGGACCCACTGCAGGTGCCTTCGAGCGAGGCAGCACCACTGGCAGCCATTCGTTCCAGTTCCTTTTCGGCCAAGCAGACGGGAAAACACCAGTGCAAGCTGTGCGGCAAGTGCTTTGCCAGCAGCAGCAACTTGAGTCGCCACCGCCGCATTCATACCGGTACGGCCTTTGGCGTTTGCGTGCATGCAACCACCTGCGTACTGCAGCCTTACACCTGTGCACTGTGCCTGCATCCTCTGTGCGCATTACACCAGAGACGAAGAGAGCGAGACCTGCATCACCGCGTGTGTACGAATACACACACACACACATGCGCCCACGCCCACGCACACACACACACACACACACACACACACACACACACACACACACGACACACACACACACACACACACGCACACACACACACACACACACACACGACACACACACACACACACACACACACACACACACACACACACAACTCTTGACGCTGGGCGTCCTCCACGCCACCGCTTGCTTCTCACACACACACACACGCAGACACACACACACACACACGCACGCACAACACACACACACACACACGCAGACACACACACAGACACACAACACAACACAACACACAACACAACACACAGATATACGCACACGCGCACACAAATGCACACACGCATATTGTCCCATAAACTGCTCACTCACAGACAACCAACAATGCCTCATTTGCCTCTTTTCATCACGAACGACGACACGTTACCAGGCGCCAAGCCGTATCGCTGCAGGTACTGCGATTACGCCTTCAACAACAGCAGCAACCGCCGCAAACATGAGCGTGCTTACTGCCGCAAGCGCCCGGAGATTGTTGGCTTCACGACGCCGGAGGAGCAAGCAGCATGGGCGGCCATGGGCTTCATGTCCCCCGGCATGAGCCTGTCGTTCCCCACCAGCTACGCCCAGCAAGGCCAGCAAGGCCAGCAACTGCAGCAGATGCAGCAGATGCAGCAGCACTTGCAATCCCAGCTGCAACAGCAGCCACAGCAGGTGCAGCAAGGGCAGGCTGCCACGGCGTCCCAGGACGGCGGCCAGCAGGCCAGCGCCACAGTGAACGGCACCGCGAACGGTGCAAAGGATACCGCCACCACTGCTGCCTCGACACGTGCGGACATGGACGGCCACACCGAAACCCAAGGCGCAGAACCCAAGAGCGAGGCTGTCTCAGGTGCTTCGATGACAAAGCTCAACAACCACGACCAAGGCCAACCGACTGGACTGGCAGCACAGGCCCGCTCGACGTCAGACGGTGCCAGCGCCTCTGTCAAGGATGCCCGGAAAAGCAACACGACCGCGGGACGTCGCTCGCACCCTGACGGAAGTGACGACAGCAGCAGCGGCAGCAGTAGCAGTGGCAGTAGTAGCGACAGTGGTGGCGATGGTGATGCGGGCAGCGGCAGCAGTAGCAGTGGTAGCAGTAGTGACAGTAGCGGCAGCAGCGACGGGAGTGGCGAGCATGGACCTGATACGAGGGCATAAGCTCTCTCAGGAAGCTGTCATGCTTGTGTTGCTGCGCTTCACTCCGTTCGTCCCCCCCCCCCAACCTCAACCTCAGCACCAAATACTTCTCGGCAAGTAGATGTCTGACTCAGATCTCGACTTTCCACATTGACATCCACGTAGTACGCTAGTCAGCTAGGGCACGATTGCTACTCCTCTCCCCAGTCCCATCTTCCCCCTCTTCTGTCCCAGACGCTGGTGTGTGTGTGTATGTGTGTGTATGTGTGTGTGTGTGCGTGTGTGTGTGTGTGCGTGTGTGTGTGTGTGTGTGCGTGTGTGTGTGTGTGTGTGTGTGGTTTGATTGGTTTGCCTGCATGCACCGGTGTGCATTTCGTTGTTAGGTGTGACGGGTGGGCTGTTTTGATCGCGGTGAAGTGCAGTTAGTTGTACGCGCTTTTCAGCCCATCCGTGCTTTTGTGTCTTGTGTTTGGTGTTTGACGTTGTTTCAAGTCCTCCATTCTCTGCACTTGTTCACTTTCTCCACTTTCTCCACTCAGGCGGGGGTTGCCCGCTTCGTTCATGTCATTTCGTTCTTTTCACACAGTTCACAAATTCAAATGCCTGCCACATCTTCCCGTTCTCTCGTTCTGTTGCGTTTCAGCTTGGGCTTCAGCGCCTTGCTGCTGCTTGTTTTGTTTGCCGCTCGCATTGATTGTGCATTTCGAGGCCTTTGGTTTGGGTTGTGGTCGTGTGTGTTTTTGTGTTTGCTTCTTTCAGATCTGTTTGTTCTGAATTTCGAGTGTTTGCTTCACACCTTCACTGTGATTCACCTGTGGTCGTCGTCTTACATTTCCCCATGTTGACCTTTGCACTTGCTCGCGTCGTTTTGGGCGCAAGCCCCTTGGCAGCACCAACAAAGCGCGAGCTCGCTCGGTCAGTCCTCCACCCCCCAATCGATTCGACCCGAGTGCTTCTGAGTGCTTCTGTGTCCGCTTTGTTTGCTTTCATGATTGCTTGTTTTCCTGTTTATCGCTCGTCCTCGTCCTCGTCCTCGTCCTCCTTGCTGTTGTAGTTCTCCTCCGGGTGGGGCAACCCATCGAGTCTTGCCTACCTGCTTGTAAACCACTTTCCTTGCATGCCACTGCACGAACGCGAGCACGCGTCCAGTCCAAGCGCAAGCAAAACTTTGCCCACAAGCAACCCACTGTGTGCCTTGAAGCAGCGAACAAACAAGGCAGCGCTGTCGTGATTTGATGTTGGCAATCTCAATTTTGCCAGAGAGTTTGTTTTGTTGGTGGGTAAAAGTCGATTGTGGAGGAGGCGGAAGACGACGAAACAAAGAGGACAACACACACCACACACACACACACGCAAGGAGCCATGGACCCATTGGGTGACAAAGAGCAGCAGCAGCAACAGCAGCAGCAACAGCAACAGCAGCAGCAACAGCAGCAGCAACAGCAGGAGGAGGAACAACCATTGGATGGGGAAGAACGACCGCGGCTGGCGCCGGAGGAAGTGGCAAAGACGGTGCTGAAGAGCGTGCAGCAAACCACGAGCCGATCCGTGACACAGTTTGGGGGCCAGGATGACGCCCAGCGCTACGTCAAGACGGTGTACAAGTCAGTCCTCGTACAGCGCCAGCTGCCGCAAACCCCAAGGGACCAGCTGCTCGTCGTCACCGTCATCCAGGCGCACGGGCTCGCAGACAAATGGACCAAGCAAGCAAACGCCTGGCGCATCTTCTGCACGCTGGAGTTCCAAGGCAGACAACGGACAACGAGCGGCGTGCCGGCGGCACGCAACCCAACGTTCAACGAGATTGCCAGCTTCCCGCTGCATGGCACACGCATCACCTCGGGACTCAAAATCTCGCTGTGGGCAAGCGCCGCCTCAACCACAACGGCCCGCGCCCAGCTGCGCCCGCAGCAGAACACCGCTCGTGAAGCAGACAGAGACCGCTCCAGCCCCTTTTGGCGAAAGCGCAACATGACCCTGCGCTTCCTGGGGCAAGTCCACCTCAAGCCCTCCGAGCTCCAGGGCATGGTCTCCGCAAGCGCCAGCACGCCACTGCCGCTACAGAAGCGCAGTCCTCGCTCAAATGTCAAGGGATCCCTGGCCATCAGCGTCGATAGGGCCTCGCGCGATGAGATGTCCAGGGCACAGGCAAAGGAGCGCACAAAGTACGAAGAGCTGGCTGCCCACGACGCCGCCATGAAGGCACGCGAGGGTTACTGGCCAGCACCCCCACCCCACCTTACCCTCCCATCGCAGGTCCTTTATGAGGCCGTCTACACTATCATGACCTACGAGGCATCCATGATGGACGTACGTTCCAACATTCGTGGGGTTGATGCGTGTGTGTGTTGATGTGTGTATGTGTATGTGTTGATGTGTGTGTGTGCGTGTGTGTGCGTGCGTGTGTGTGTGTGTACGTGCACGCTTTGTGTGCGTGAATGCTTTTGTGTGCGCTTGCGCACCTATCTGCGTGCGGGGTCGTGTCAAGGTGTGCATCCTTGCTTGTGCATCCTTGTACATCGTTGAAGCGCCTTGGTACCCTTCTGCGGCCCACGCCCATGCCGTTTTGTTTCTTGTGCTTTCTTGAGTGTTTACGCACATCCACGCTCAACGTGCCCACACGCTCACAGCCACACACTCTTCCCACTACCATCACCACGACCACGACCATCACGACCACCACGACCATCACCATCACCACCATCACCACGACCACCATCACCACGACCATCATCCACCTACAACATCGCCACTGCTGCGCAGAATGAGGAAGTCGAGCCAGTGATGCCACGTGCGTGCAGCGACGCGGCGTGCCACGTGCTCGAGGCGGTGGCAAACCTGCCCACGTGCGATGCTTTTGACGTGAAGCTTCTCATCCAGCATCACATCAGCCTGGCCATCATGGAGGGCGACGACGCTGTGGGCATCGCGCCGCTCACAGACTATTCCCTGCTGGTGGCCTGGCTCACCTACATCTTCAAAGTGCACTTCCACGCGCGTGGCGATCGCTCTATCGAGGGCCTGCACTGCTTCGACATGCCGGAGGGGTGCCAGGATGAGTTGGCCAGCAGCCTGGAGTCCCTCTTGCTGTTCCTGCACACGGAGTTTATCCAGTACAAGTTCCAGTTTGCGGCGCACTCGCGCGTTGTGCCCCCGCTCCTTGACCACTTTCTAAACGCGTTTGCAACCTGCCAGGCCATGCTGGCTGCCCTCCGTCCTGGAGAAGAGTCTCCGCAGGACCGCGCGCGCCGCTGCGTTTACATCTGCAAAGAAAAGATCTTCCGTCTCATCTCCGCCACCGTGGAGGCGATTCCGCGCGTGTCCGCTGCCAGCCGTCTGGTCACCATGGCTGATATGCTGGAGGACGAAATCAAGTACGATCTTGTTTTCTACGCACAGCACTTCCGGCGCCACTTTGATCTCGAGTGCATGCAGCTCAACGTGGAGGGCCTGTGCCTGCTGCACGACACGCACCTTCGCCGCGAGCTGCCTGCAATGGTTGGCGGCAACCAGCCGCCCGTGCCCGTCACCATCCTGGACGCGTTTCGTCGCGTGCGCGTGCTCAAGGAGAAGTACGTGGACCTTGCTGCCTTGCGGCCGGGACAGCCGGTCCCATACGCCGACCGCCACCGCCTTTTTGTGGAGCCGATCAAGTCGTGGCTGCTGGATGTGGCCGACCGCGTGCCGGGGTTTGTCTCGCGCGCCATGGAGGTTGACGCGTTCGCCCCCATCAACGACACCACCATGCACTCCACCTCTGTGCTCGACCTCATGACTATCCTGACGCAGACGCTGTTTGAGCTGGCCGAGCTGCGCTGGGCTGACGTGCAGACAGGCACCACGCTCTTCCGCGTGTTTGCAGAGGCGGTGGTCACCACGGTATCGACATACTGTGTGCACATGCGACGCAAGTTTGGCGACACTGCGGCACAGGCCAGGAGCAAAGGGTTTATTGGCGGGCGCGGTGGTGACCTCGGTGGGAGTCGTGGGAGCGGTGGTGGCGGCGGCGGCGGAGGTGTTGGACTTGTTGGCGGTGATGCCTCAACCGAACATCTGCATGTCTCGGCGCAGCTGTGTGTGGCAATCAACAACCTCGCACAGGTATTTGGAACGCGCGCGCGCGCGCGCGTGTGTGTGTGTGTGTGTGTTTGCGCTTTGTGGAGGAGTGGGCAGTGCTTTGTGAACTCGACTCGTTTCTCACACAAACACACGCCCTCTCATACATGTATTAGCTGTGCACAAACTATTCTAAGAACACATACACTCACCCATTTTCTTACGTACACTCGCCTCCACGCCCACCCACACCCACACCCACACCCACACCCACACCCACACCCACCCACACCCACACACCCACACACCCACACCCACCCACCACCACACACACACACACACACACACACCACACACACACACACACACACCACACACACACACACACACAGTTCAAGGACCTGCATTGTGGAGCTGCAGGAGCTGACACGACGGCACATTCTCAGCATCACCGATGCGCAGTTGCGCGAAGAGGATCTAAACGCCAGTGTACGCGCAGAGCCACTGTATGAGGACCTGAGCAACATCAGCCTCGACGAGTCTGCGTCGCACGCACATGACGATGAGTATGACATTGAGGCGAGCCATTACGCACGCATTGAGGACGTGCTGCCTGACGATGACGATGACTACTACGGTGAGGGCGGTGGTGGTAGCGATGACAACCATCACTCACACAGCCACCGCCACCATCGCGACGCTGGTGGTGATCACGACGACTATGATGATGATGATGATGATGATGATGCCAACTTCGGGTTTGGAGAGGAGGGTGGAAGTGTTGCAAAGAGGCGACAGTCACACGCTGGACGTGGTGTTGGTCGCGGCTATGATGATGATGGTGTTGGTGCTGATTCGAAAAATGTTGGCGGTGTTGCCACAAACAGCAGCAGCAGCAGCAGCACAGCCGCAGTCAAGCGAGGGAGTCACTCACGCCCGCGCGGCGACAGCGGAAGCAGCAGCGGTTCGCAGCTGGCGGCCACGGCTGGAGATCCGTTGAAGATGGTGAAGCAGGTCTACCAGCTGGCACTTGAGTCACTCGCGGGGTAAGGGTGGATGGGGAAAGGGGAAAGGATGGTGGAGAGGGGTCGTGTGTTGGGCGTGAGCGAATGAGCAAACATGCTTGTGTGTTTGTGTGATTGTGTGTGTGTGTGTGTGATTATGTGTGTGTGATTATGTGTGTGTGTGATTATGTGTGTGTGATTGTGTGTGTGATTGTGTGTATCTGTGTTTTCTGATGCAGCGTGTTATTGCGCCTGCTTGGCACAGGACATTTTCGCCGATGTTGGGCATGCTGACCAATTCCATCTTCCCCGTGATTGAGCAATACCTCAACTTCATGGCAGGCTTCAGACGTACACAACCCATCCTCAGCAAGGTGCCTCGTGTGTGTGTGTGTGTGTGTGTGTGTGTGTGTGTGTGTGTGTGTGTGTGTGTGTGTGTGTGTGTGTGTGTGTGTGTGTCGTAGCGAGGGTGAGGGTGAGGGTGCAAGTGAGAGTGAGAGTCAGAGTGAGAGTGAGAGTGACAGTGAGATATGAGCGTAAGAGTGAGAGCTTGTGAGTGTACATGTGTGAAAGGGAGCACTTGTTTTGATCGCGCATGTGCTCAGTCTGATGCGGTGTGTGTTCACGTGTACAGATGTTCAAGGTGAAGCACGCAAAGCGCCAGGCGACAACCAAGTTTGAGGTGCAGCAGGTCGAGGGCCTCGATGAGCGAAAGCTTGAGGTTGGTGTGTTTGTGTATGGGTAGTATGTGTATGGGCGCGTGCTTGGTGGGTTGTGCTTGCTCATGTGTAGTGCCCATCAAACACCCACAAGCACACACATTTGTGTGCACACAAATGATGTGAGCGTGCACACACACACACACACGCTACACTACACTACACTACACAAACACAAACACAAACACAAACACAACCACAACCACAACCACAAACACAACCACAAACACAACCACAACCACACACACAAATTCACACAAATACACGTACATGCAGCGGGTGAAGAACAAGATGCAGCGAATGGCGCGTCGGAGCAAGCGCGCGACGTGGAAGCGGCACCAGAACCGCCCATCCGAAGACGTCGAACGCACACGCGCGCCAACAGCCGCAGAGCAGGCAGCCCTCCTCTCAGATGCGCAGGTGTGCGCGTTGCGCGCGCTTGTTTACTTGTGCGTGCGGGCGTGCGTGTGTGTATGCATGTGTATGGGTGAAGGTGTGTGCTGAGTTGTGATGGGCTCGCTTCGTCGCGGCTTGTGCTGTATGCGGGTGCCCAACACCAAACACCACCTGATCCCACCTTCACGTTCATACACAACTCTCCTTGCCCACACCTGTCTCCACACACACACACACACACACACACACACACACACACACACACACACACACACACACACACACACACACACACACACACACACACACACACACACACACACGCGCGCGCGCACAATGTCAGGTTCGCATTTCCATGGAGCCGCTGCTGGACTATTTAGACGCGACGCTGCAGACACTCAGCGCGAACCTCTACGAGGTGTCATGCGAGGGAGGCAGGGGCAGCAGTGACTGATGTTGTGGTTCTGCAGTGATGGATATTTGTGGTGGTGCACCAGCAGCAAGCTCTCTCGCCATCGCTGGCGTCTTGCCTGCTTCTCATGACTCAAACATGCGCACGCGCGCAAAACTGCAGGACGTGTTCCACAATGTACTGGCGAATATCTGGGACGCCACGGTTGCGACGGTCGATCGAAAAGTGAACAGATCACAGGCACACATGGGTGCGTCGGTGGAGGGCGCACAACTGCACATGTGTATGTGTGCATGTGTGTGTATGTATGCGTGTGTGGAGTTTGTGGAGTGTGTGCAGTGCGTGTATGTGCTATATTCTTCAGCAACCTGCTCACCCCACTCGTTCGTAT